CATACCACTGGTACACCTGTGTTTTCGATAGAGTATCGTCACCATAACACTTTTGTAACATTTTTAATGTGTCGGAACACTTAATTTCATTTTTATAGCAAAATTTAATGCAAGAACGTTGTTCAAGTTTTGAATCCATTGCAAAAATCGCCGCGACGTAAAAACTTGATGTAAAGAAATCACTGTCATAAAGATAAATGAACAGCTGATAAGCAGAAGCTTGGCATGGGTGTCCGTAACAGTGCTGCCAACGTGACACAAACAACAGAATTCTAAACCGATAAGCCCGCGAGGTTTAAATTAAAAATTCCGGTTATTTTTTGATCATGGTAGTATGAGTAATATTTGTGGCAAGTTGCCAACAACTTGCACTCAGTTGGCTATCTGGGTAAGAAATCACCTTGTTTTTGACGTTCTAAATCTTCAGAATCTCTCAATTTATTGTTTATTAAATTGTTTATTAGCTTAAACATCAGGCGAAGGAAAAGATCACGGAGGCAGGCGAGGATAGTCTGTTTGCACCGTTGGAACAGGTATGTTTTATTTTTCACGAAATATTTTGTCAAATAAAAAACTAATATATAGATAATATTGTTGTATGCCAGAACATGATAATATTACGCATATTTAAATGCATTTCATTGTTCGAACTTTGATTTCAATTAGTTAACGCAACAAACTAAGAAAGCGATGGGCGAAGCGACGAAGTCGGTGCAAGAGGCGTCGAAAACCGCGTTAGAAGCGAGCAAAACCGCGGCGGGTGTCAGTAAAAATACGCTCGACGATTTGACATACGTTGGTAAAAGCACGTTGGGAGATTTAACTAAAAGTGCCAAAGAAGTTGCCGCGAAAAAGGGTTTGCTCAAGGTAGTTTGAATATTTTTTTTTTTTTTAATCTTACGTGTATCAATTTATCTTTCACGTTGATATAAATATTTGTTTATAATTCAGAGTCTTGGAGAATCTCAACAACAATCGCCTACACACTCACCATCGTCTCCCAATGCGACGCAACAGCGGAAAGACTCGATCAGCAATCAGCTGGTCGCGCCGGACACGCGCGGCGGTGTCGGCCGTGATTTCTTTAGCAATATTAGCAGCGATCTGAATGGTTTTGCCGCGCAGACCAGCAGCATGTTCAGCGACTTGTTCGGTGTGTCCAAATTTCATGATATATTACAAATATTTTATTTGTTATTGATGTACTAACAAAACGCTTCAAAATTTGTAGGTAGTAAAGGTAATTCTAATCGAGGCGGTAGCTTCTTCCCGCAGACTCAGAAATCGAAAGAGAAGACCAATCCGATTCTCCCCCCATTTCCCAAAGGTAAAAAACGTATAAATATAGGATGTCTGACAACGAACTATAAAGCCGACGTGTGTAAGTAGACCGGGTCATTCTGAACAGAAAAGTTATATACCATTTTGCAAAATTCGCAATATTTATTGAGATATGAATTACTAAATGTGAGCCAATGAAGGCGCGGGGAACGATGATCGGACTCTATAGGCGTGCACGATTATCAGATGAAAAAAAAAATGGCTTCTCTCATGTAATGTCTTAGTAACGAGAGGCGGAGTAAACAAACAAGCGCGGCACGACTCAGTTTCTTGCGATCGGGCGCTATTTGGCGGTACGCAGCGAGCAGCGGCAAGCGAGGAGTACAGCTGGATAATTGTTCACGCCTCTAGAGTCCAATCATCGCTCCCCGAGCTCTCATTGGCTCACATTTATTAATTCATATTTCAATAACTATTGCGATTTTTTCAAAATGATAAATAACTTTTCTGTTCAGAATAACTCGATCTACCTACACACGTCGGCTTTATAGTTCCTTGTCAGACACCCTGTATGTATTTAGTTTCAATTATATAATTCTCAGTCAAATCCGAAGATAAAATTTAATGTGACGTAAATTTGTATTTTATCGATAGTTACAGGAAAAACAGGATTGGTAGAACGTTCCTCGTTGATAAAACACTCTTCGCACAAGGCTAATCAAGAAGACGTGCAGAGGATGCAAAACGCGGAACGTTCTAGCACAAACAGCGACAATCAAGCCTTCTTGAACGACGCAAGTATCTATAAATTAATATAAAAAATTAAGTTTTATAATTCTTTAATAATTATATCTTTCTTCTCTATTTCTCAGGTGATAACGAGTGTGCTAGCTGGCGAAGGCGTTGGTTGGCTCAAGTTAAATAGACTGAAAAAATTAATGGAGGATGAAAACTATCGGGATCTGGTCGTGACAAAATTGAACAAGGGTCTCAATAGAAAAATCAGTCCGGATGATCACATTGACGATGTGGTAAATTTTCAAGAGTATCTTAAACGCAGACGCACTACCGCACACATAAACGCACAAACATATTTATTGAATTTATTACATTTGAATTTTTTTTACTGTTTTTCTTTTTTTTAGGCTATATCGAAACCCGTGTACAAGGGAATGTTAAAGTGCCTTCAAGCAGTAACGCATGGTCTCGCACATACATACAATAATTTCGGGCTAGGCGGGATGGCTTCAGTCTTCCAACTGATGGAAATCGCTCACACACATTACTGGAGCAAAGATCTATCCGAAAGCGGTTTCGACAGCTCTTTAATGTCACAGGTGCGCGTAAAACTTGCAATATTTACTTTATTCTATTTGTTAGCTATGAAGTTTTTTTTTTTTTACTGAACTTAATATATAGGGGAGACTGGGGCTGATTGTGACACGGGTAAAATTTACAAGTTTTGATTAGTGATGAAAAATAAGTGCTACATTAAAGCTAAAAAGAGACAAATGCTCGCCACAACTGTCACGCGTCACACGCGTCAGTAACACCATCGTTGTTGCAATTATTTTTCATCGCTAATTTAAGGCTGTAACTTTTTACCCGTGTCACAACCAGCTCCCTAATACAGATTGCATCAAATATGGTAATTTGTATTTTTATGTCCTAATAGACAAATTGTGAAAATATTGCACAAAATGACATCATGAATAACGACGATCCTGCAATGATTGCACTTAGATGATTCGCCATAACGCAACAGTTTTGTCGAAATAAAATTTTGTAAATTTGTCAAAAATTGCGAAAGAGTTCGTTATGCATTTCTTTAAGTATATACATGAATTAAGTTGATTTCTTTATATGCAATTATATTTCTATATATTTTAAACATCACATAGCTGAAATTTTTTTCTCAATTATTAGACAATTTTTTTTGAAATTAATTTTGCAAATATACTGCTAAGATGATTTGCCGTATTGTTATTCTTTTGCCGAAATAGTATTTGGAAAGTAATTTTGCAAACAACTACAAATATTTGATAAAAGATCAATGTTTTTTTACATCTATTTCCTAAAATATATCTGTATAATTGCAAATTACAATTTTAGTGCAAGATTTTGTCACATAATTTTGTAAATGTTTTCTTATCAAGGTAATAGTATACATTTGCGATTAAAATGTTATTAACTTATATAAAGATAGAGAACTTTTGTGTGTTTCGCAGGCGTCCAGTCCGTTTGGAAGTAGAGAAAACTTGAAATCTCCACAGTCTCCAAATCAACCTGACTTTTCAGATAGCACGCAAAAGTCGGGTATGTCTTTGGCCAACCATTTATCAAAAAATCTTAATATTCTTTTGCAAAAGTATATAAATTTGTGTCTTTGACTTATAAATGCAAAATAACAATTGACTTTTGCGAAATATTAGAAATACCTCAAGTATACTTGGAAACGCCACAAGCTGCGCCAACAGACACGAGTCAATCAACGACGGACATATTTCTGGACATGTTCACGAAGAAAGGAAAATTTCTGAGCAAGCTAACTTCGTTCGATTCAGAGGTAAAGCGAAATTTTGAATTAAATTATTCGGAAACGCGTGTATACTTCAATCTTAAATTCTAAAACAACAACAAGTTGATTAGCGTATCTCGCTTAGGCATCGCAATTGTTGAATACTGCAGGAGCAACTGTTGAGACTCTGGTTTACAAAACATATACATGCCCCCCTTCTCCGACCTGAAAGAGAAAAAATAATTTTTCTATTTACAATAGAATAAAATATTCAAGCCAAAAAAGTGATCACTACTGGAACTAATTTTACTTACTTATTTTATCGGTTTGACACAGTTTCTATAGCGGTTTCTTTGAAAAATCTACTTAGAGAAACAATTAGAAAATGCTGACGAAATTTGTTGAATTTCAATTCGTAATTGTAACGTGCAAACGCACACGTGTGATGTGTTTTTTTTAGAGTGGGCGGGGTGGTGGAACGGGGAGCAGCGAAGCTTTATCCACAGACGGAGGTAGCATTGTCACTAATCCTGCTTTTCGGCAAGCGCACCAAGCTTCCTTCCGAAGCACCGTGTCTGATAGCGAGGTCGAGCAAGGCAATGTAAACTACCTACTCTGAATTAGTTTCTTTAATTACGCTTAGTTATTATATTTACTCCGTAGTGGACAGTACATATATCTCTTTCAGTAGCATCGTCCATTCCTCGTTAAGTCAAATCGACGTTAACTCGACTCCATCCACACACCAAAAAAAAAAAAAAAAAAATCGATATCGAATTTGCTGAAATGCGTGTTAATCGTCTCTGTTGAAGCAAATTCAATGAACCATATGACACTCGAATGCCTAGTGCACTTTTAAAAACGCAGCCGATTCCCTTCGTCCCTTGGGAGTTTTTTCCGTAGTTCCAAGTACTCTCGGATCGCACTGCCACGTTGTTGTACTCATCGGAAACATGAATGGACGCTGATAGATTGCAATAGAAAATTGTTATCAAAGGGTAACGACAATGACATGCTTTAAGTCGTAATGAAGTTTATGATATTGCAAAAATATTTATAATATTGTTGCGCTCACGGCAGCGTTTAATCGCGTCACCGCCGAGTTACTGCGCTCCGCGGAAAGAAAATAGAACACCGCGTATAATACACTAGAGTTTTATTAGAAAACGCGTTACAAAAGGCCGCGGAAAACGTGAAGAAATCTCGAGCCGATGATCCAGCCTCTCGACGATTCCGAATCCGGCGGCTCACTCTCTTGAATTTCGCTGTCAACAAACCCCGTTGCTACCTGAACAAAAGCGATCGATCGTTGAAAATCTTCATATACCGCGTGGACGACACGCGCCGTATCTCGCAACAATATTATAAAATTTAATAATGTAATCAATATTACTGATACATTTATACTAAAGTATAATATAAAAATAATTGAGAGATATGTATATATATGTATACAGGGTGTCTCATAATTGCCGTCTAACCGCTTGTAGGTAGATAGAAGGGGTTATTCTAAGACGAAAAGTTCTATATCACTTTGCAAGATTCGCAATAATTAACGAAATATTAATTAATAAAAATTCGCTAATCAGCGTACATCCGACGTAAGGACAGCACAGTCTGTCGCGCCGTAGCGACAGAATACAACAGCGCGCCGCCCGAACGCAGCCTATATGCCGTCTATGTATGCACATGTTATTCTATTAGTTCCTCTCATTCCGTCGCTACGACGCGACAGACTGGGCTGTTCTTTCGCTGGATGCACGCTGATTAGCGGATCTTTATTAATTAATATTTCGTTAATTATTGCGAATCTTGCAAAGTGGTATAGAACTTTTCGTCTTAGAATAATCCCTTCTATCTACCTACAAGCGGTTAGACGGCAATTATAAGACACCATGTATATATATACATATGTATGTATCACACAATGTATATTTCTCTATCAAGTTACCCTTTGACCTTAGAAAGATGGCATTATGTCGCAATTAGTTGTGAATGAAGTCCTAGTTTGAATACCTTAATCGCAACATTATGACGGAACGTCGATATAGAAGATAAACTCCCAAATAAATATATAAATATATAAATATATATATATATATATATATATATATTACTGCTTCATTAACATAATTTTTCATATAGAGTTTTATTAGAAAATCTTTTTGCGACGCTATTAATTTGATTCTTACGCTGTTCTGTGATTCCAGTTTCCTCGGCAAGGCAAGCAACGTTCCGGCAGCGTTTGGTCCAGCAAATCGTCTCTGAGCACCGGATTTCGGTATCACGGCGGTAGCTTGATGACCACGACGTTGCCGAGTCCGGAAGCTGCGAGAACGTATCTCTTCGAAGGTAATCGAGTTTTTTTTTTTCATTGTTGATCCACATCATTGACGCAGATGACACAACAATTTGTACTTCGAAATTTGTTGAAAAAAAAAAAATGCAGGTTTATTAGGAAAGGAGAGATCGTCTTTGTATGATGAAATGCAATTCTGGGAGGATGCGTTTTTAGACGCCGTCTCGCAGGAACGAGACATGATGGGCATGGATCAAGGACCCGGGGAAATGGTGGAGAGGTAAAAGAGATAGAGTCGTGCATTTTGAGTTAAGTCAAAGTCATAAAAAATATTGATGTGTAAAATACGAGATTTTACACATTTTTAAGATAGTGAAAATTCGAAAATAGCGCGAAGTTATGTATGTGTGTGTGCAAATATACTGAAATTATGTTATTGCCTTGAAATAAACATTTTACGCACAATTTGCCATACAAAAAATACACAACTTTATTTCTAAATAAAAAAAAATATAGATATAAGAGTTTGAGCGAGAGTGAAAGGAGACGATTGGAGCATGAAGAGGACAGACTGCTGTGCACGCTGTTACACAATCTCACCGCTATCTTGGTGATGCTGAATGTGGACAAGAACGAGCTAAAACGAAAGGTGCGCAGATTGCTCGGCAAAAGTCACATCGGCCTCATCTATAGTCAGGAGTTAAATCTACTTCTCGATCAAATAACCAATCTTGTAAGTTCGTCCGATAAAAAATTTACAAACTTATTTTATACCGTTTTCTTTTTCATAAAAAATATCTTTATATAAGCTGCACGTTCTGATTTTTGTCTCAGCACGGAAACGACATCGATCTAAAGCCTCTGACGTCACGGCAAATGCATCGGCAATCGTTCACTGTGCACGCCGGAGTCGATTCCGAGGGTGATCTGCGGTTTCTCGAGGTTCGCCACGATGGTCTTGTGCTGAGATCGGTAAACGGTGTCATAGTCGAGCGTTGGTGGTACGAGCGCGTAGTCAATATGACCTACAGTCCGAAAACAAAGGTTCTGTGTTTGTGGAGGCGAAGCGGAGGCAAAACTGAATTACATAAATATTATACCAAAAAGGTAACAAAATATACTTTTTAGTTTTAAAACTTCTAGAGTTGAAGAAAAAGTGATAATATGGCTCTTATTTACATTTTATATTATAATTTTTTTTTAATATTCAAAGTTTAATTACTTATTCCATAAGCAATCGCCAGAATTCCAATAGCGGAAATATCAAGAGGGATCATATTACCACCTATTTCTCCAACTAGATTATCTACAAGGACCGCGTATATTACCACTTTCTTTATTCTAGACATTTTAATAAAACAAAAAAAGATAAAACAGGAAATGTATAATGACCATTTGAAGCAAAAACACTGGTGATAACGTGTGTATGATAGATGCATTACTTTATTCAAGCAGGTAACATATAGAACGTTTTCGGCCTTAGATTAGGCCTTTATCAATATATATATAAATATGATGTTCTTGAATTAAAACTTATACAAATCACATGATTACAATATAGAAATATTAAAGTAACTGAGCTACTGAGTAACTGAGTTACTTTAATATTTCTATATTGTAATCATGTGATTTGTATAAGTTTTAATTCAAGAACATCATATTTATATATATATACCCAGCAAACAATTTCTGTTTTTGACAATTTCGGCGCAGACCTTGGTAACAGAAACTGTTTGCAGAAATGCTACAATACGGAAACACCGCCAAAATTGTTAGCACACAGAAAGAAAAAACGCAACAACTCTGTTGACAAATACATGAGAGTATTGCAGCCAAAACGATTCCATATATGTCAGTGAAATTAACAACAAATAGATGGTCGATTGCAAGCAGATCTGCTTTTAGCAATATTGTGACCAAACAGTCCGCAAAATTGTATCAGAAATCTATTTACGACAAAAGTCGGGTTGATCTGTTAAACGCATTGACNACAGATTGCCACCAAACGCCAAGCAGGTCTGTTCGTGTATACGTGCGGACTGTTTGCAATTTGGCGCCAACAGACAATGACCAAACCTATTCCGGATTTTGGCTTCACTTTGGCGATAATTTGGCCTCGCTTTGCTTGTGGCAGACTCTGTCATCATTTTGGTCGCATTTTGACATTTCACATGTTGACAGACATGGTTAACAAACCATATCCTACTGAGGACACAGATGGATATGGTTCTGTGACCGAAATGTTTGCTGGGTATATTGATAAAGGCCTAATCTAAGGCCGAAAACGTTCTATATGTTACCTGCTTGAATAAAGTAATGCATCTATCATACACACGTTATCACCAGTGTTTTTGCTTCAAATGGCCATTATACATTTCCTGTTTTATAAGAATTTATTGAAGCTTACTACACTCCTATTCTAAAAAAAGATAATATACATTTTAATAAAGATAAAATATTCTTCGCGCGAGATATTAAATTATCTTACCGACACTTGACGATTGTTTCTCTCTCTCTTTTGTCAGTGTAAGGACGTGTATTACTGCATAAAGGACGCGATGGAGAAGGCAGCGACTCGCGGGCGAGGCGCAAAGGAGGATTACGAGCTCGGTGGCGAGTTTCCGGTACAGGACATGCGAACGGGCGAGGGTGGACTCCTGCAGGTTTGCATGGAAGGAGTCGGTTTGCTCTTCGCGAACAGCAAGGTATGACTCACATGACGCGTAGAAAAAAAAAAAAAAAAAACTGCCTTTACGTTGTAAAGGCGATGCAGGAAGAATCGAGAGAGTTTAACTCTCTCGAGGATTTTACGTAAAAAATAATTCATATCTATATATATATATTCTTTTTTCTACATTCTACGTCCAATTGTTTGTGTCATGTTGAATCGCATTTGACACCATACAAGTTTATTGGAGATTTTTGTTTCGAAGAGTTTTTTTTATCTCAGTTTTCGTTATATATAATTTTTTTTAAACAATAACTACGTTTTGATTATATAATGTCGTGTTCCTTCTTTTTCTGGCCGATGCTGTCGTTTTACTTTTTATCGACGCTAATGCGTTATAATAATGTGTCTATATTTCAGCGAGATTAAACATATGCCACACACAGAGAATATCTTATGTTATCATACGAGCTTCGTTCGTAAAAAGAAATCTTTCGGCCTGACAATCGCGCAATCGTTTTACAAATGCTTAAATGGAAATTAAAAAAAAAAAAATAATAATCATAATATATAAATTAATGAAACTGCAAAAAAAAAAAATACAGCGTTAATTAGAATCGAATATATAAGATAGGGAATGTCGTCGTCCAACCACTTGTGTCTTCTTTTGTCCACATTTCTCTCGATCATAGAATACTCTCTCTGTGTTTTTTCTCATTATTGCATTGATGCAAGGACCACTCAATATTACCTCCCACCGCTAGCCACTATATCTGCTTAATTAATTACTTTGTATCTCTGTCGGGTTCGTCAAGGTGGTTTGATCGGCGAATGTTCAAGTTAACAAGTTCCAAGCTTTCTCGTAAGAAACGCTCTCTGTTTAATTTCACCAGAGAATAATATGTACAAAAAAAAATCCATTACGTTTGCACACAAGTTATACAAATCTCGTGTCGAGAAGATGGAAACTTGTCACTCTTGTCGAAAAAAAAAAAAACCAAAACTTTAAAAAATTCGGAAAAACGTTCTAGTTGTTGAACTAAAACACTCGGAAAAAAACATCTCAATCGTTGAAAACAATAACACGCATATTTTTCACACGCGTATAAAAATGTAACACATTTATTAAATTTTTCTTTTTTCTTTTTCCAGATAGTCGAGAATTGCAATTTATTTGTTGTGGTCCTGTTTGTAAACTTTTTTTTTAAATAGAAATATTTAAAATGTTATTAAAACAACATTCAATTGCACACATTTTGAATATTTTTAGTTAAAATATTTTATTATAACATGAGAAGAAAAAAGGATTGCACCATAAATAATGAAACAATGGACCATCTCCGATAATTTTTTGTTATGTCTACACACGCGCATAAAAAAAAATTCTTAATATAAATAACTTTTTCTTAATAAGAAAACAACTTTCTCGTAAGCATCTTTTAATCAAGAACTCTACCGATTATTTGTTGATAATAATGTTTTTGCTTAACTCGCGCACTCTCGACAAAGGCACAATTTTTATTACAACTTTTCCGATGTCTCTCTTCTCGGTTTACATATTTTATTAGATAATATTGTGTTCAGGCGTTATATATAATCAATGTTTTCTTGCATGGAAGCTCGATGTGCAGTTGCAGACTTTTTTATCTGTATATTATATAATTATTTATATTACATTTATATATATATTATTCATTATACATATATTTATATAGGAAAAAAGGTATAGGGCGTTATATATATATATATATACACACATACACACACACACACACAGAGACTGTCTTTTCAACACTATACTCCTCTATCTTATCATTTGTATTGAATGTTGGATGCTATATTATATTTTTTCCATAAGTCTATGACAACTTTTTTATCTCTGTCGTGATCTCACATATACACGCGAGGAAAGTCTATTCGCGGTTCGAGAATACAAAATGAGATTAATAATAAGAAAATGAAGATAACGGCGAGAAAAAATCGTGTGATGAGACAAGAAGTGTACAAAATCGTTATTTTTTTACATATATCTCACTCTACACCGCGAGATAAAAAAAAAAAAAACGTCTCATTACATTTAATTAGTAACGCTAATTTCGACACAAATGACGAAATAAAAATTCTGTGAAATATTATTACGCTCGGGATGATAGACTTTTCTCAGCTTGGGGAACTTTTGAGATGGTCCTTGAACAATGAATATATTGCTGTTTTAATCGATTGGCCATCACGTTAGGTAATCAAAATATAGCTGTAATATCATCGTATACAGCTCTGTATCTTTCTCTCTAATCTATCTCTATCTCTTTCTTATATATATATATGCTATAATATTAACTGAGTGGATATAATTGTATTACCAAAGATTTTAATTTTCTGTTTTTCTGTTTTCTGTTTCTTGTCCCGTCCATCGACATTGCCCCGCGGCTGGGCAAACAGGATTTCGAGGTATCAAATCAAACTAAAAAATCACTGTCTGTTATATAAATTCAGTATTGACTATATACTCAATGTTGGCCGTGTTTTCCGGAGATGCTTATTTATTTTTACCATTACTTTTGGCCGTATATTATTACTATATACCATTATATACTATATATCTACCTACATTCTCTTAAATTGCATTCAAATTCACTGATCTGCTCTGTCTATCTTGACTGTTTTTTTTTTTTTTCGTTTTTTTTCCAATACGATCGATCGGTGTTAGTTGTACATATAATATATATATATATATATATATTATACATATGTACGTATATATATATGTATATCTCTCCGATATATATTATTACACGAAGCCGATGTACTCCCATTAAAGGGGGATGTCCGGCGACGAAAAGATGAAATGCAGACCAGTGTTTGTCGCATTATACACATATATCGAAAGTCGTCCGACACAATATATACCTTATATATTGTATATCGTTTATATAGATGAGATATATTTGTGAGTAGTGTTTAGTGCAACTTGTAGAGCGATGTTCGATGCACACAATGCAACTATATATATATCTATATAGCCTATATCACTACATATTATATATATATATATAAAAATTCGTACACAATCATTGTCGTCACGATCATCATTACAGCTTCCACGTTTTTACACACAGTAAACAATATTATTAACAAAACTTACCTGGAAACTTTTCCTTCACCGATATTGTCAATTCTCTTTGACATCTTTATCGAAGAACCGATAAATATTTCGATACATTTTACAGAGATTCCGGAAATAATTTGATATAAGTCTCAATATTTTTTCTAATTTTTTTGTTTCAGTTGAACGAAGTAAAATGTCTCGATTGAAAATAGAACAAACAAGTTGATCTCTTCATGAAGACAAGTTGTACAGAAACTAGAGACAAACTGACACAGTTGTATATAAAAAAAATATTGCTTGCAAACAAATGTTATATGAAAATATATAAAGGAAAATTTTAATACAAAAATAAATTATTAAAAATTAAAACATCTAAAATGAAACACAAAACAAACATGAAACCGAACTTAATGAATCAAATAATTGTTAATATAATCAGTTACAAAGGACCTGTAAATTTTTAAAAAACTCAAACAAGATGCTTTATACCTACAAATTTTAATATGTTTAAAACCTGTGTAATATTATTTTTTTAATACATTTGCTAATATGTAATGTGTTTCGAGAAACTTACCCCTAAAGAGAAACATAGAAAATAATAGCAAATTAGTAGCTGCCCGATTTTTTACGCATACATGTCGCTCGGTAATCTACGCACATACTGCTAGTATTCTGTAGTAGAGCAATAATTTTCTGCGCTGTATAGCAATACGTACGACATGTACTAACGCGTAAGACTCTCTGGGATATCATCGTGCAAAATGCTGTATTTTGTCACGATAAATAATTACTACACTTCTCTGGCATGGCACTGCTAACATGTTTCTTGTTTCACGACATCGTATATCGAGTTCGATGTTACTCTCCCGACAGTGACATCCGTTATCGTCATTATTAATTCCCCTTTTCTCAATCTCTTTATCTATTATCATCCCTCTCTCTAATATTTATACATCACGATCGTGTATCATTGTCGATCGAATCACGCCCACCGGTCTGTATTAGATGATACAATTGCACATTTAGCAACTTATCGACGCTAAGCAATCAGTGACATTTTACGATTGAGTTTAGGCCATCTCCAGAGTTGCCTGCCGCCTATATATCGCTGCTGCTGTTGCTGTTTGCTGCCGCCGCTGATGTTGCTACCATTGCTGGACCTTGCTTACGAAGTCGAATATCGCTACAATGGCTGCTAAATGACGCATGACAGTTTTAGATTCTAGTCGTAATAGATCTTGAATCATTTTAGGCTTCTACGCGCGAGTGTCATTTCTTGTGCAAAACTTAACAAACATAAAGTTCCAATTGAGGTGGAAATTGTTTGACTGTTTCTGTGACAGATGTGCTATATATTTTACACGATGTAACAAATACAGTGTGGGTTTTCTTGTTTTTTGAAAAACTGTTAGTTGTGTTTTGCACAAAATGATTCTCGTTGTTCGCTTTTGAATTTGCAATCGGAAAGTAGAAATTAAAATCATTTGTGAGCATGTCACAGGCAATCACTGCACGACTATATTACAACAAATTTTTGTGCACGTTCGCACATAGACTGTCTGGGAAATGCAATCCGCTCATAGATATGTGTCTAATTGATCATAATAATATATATCAAGTCTCGTATAAGTGTATAATAATAGTGACAATATGATTATATTAGATTAGATAAACAGATGGTAACTCTAATCTAATCACTGAAGTATTGTTCAATAAACTTTGATATGCGTTACTATACTTGTATACAAAGCGAAGCAGTTCGCGATTCTAAAGAAGAAATTTTTTTCAGACTCTTACAAGAAGCTTTGTGTGATAAAAAACGAAAGCTGTTATGTGAGAAACTCCTTCATGAAATGTCATTATAGAAAGAAAAGGAATTACTTAAAGATATAATAAATTAATAACATATTGAGCTCTCATTTATTGTAATAATTATAATGTAGCTTTAATAACATCCACATATCTGCTCTTAAAATAAAAATTAGGTAAAAGATTGTATGGTGACGCATTTAAAACACAAGAAAGACAAAGCACACAAAATCCGTTATTCACGCCTTTTCAAAGAGCTACTTGCACAAACAAATTAACATTGTTACAATATCGCAATTAGCACAGAACAATAGAAGAATCGCAACAAAAGTGTGCATGATGATCAGCGTAGATCGAAATCCACGACGCGCCGATGCGCAAACCACTAACGCAAACCGATTGTGTTATTTGCAGTTTTTTGTAAGACTCGATCATATCCGCAAGTGCTTTACTCAAAAGGATGGAATCTTTGTTTTGGAAGAATTCAGTAAGTGACACATCGAATACTGCATATTCGATAAGAAAAAAAAAAAAAAACACGCTTTTCTCTAGGCTGTAGATATCTCGCGAGATATAATTTCGCGACAGTGATATGCTTTCGCTGCAATTTTCTTGCGTTTCTCGAATATCGATTGTCAAGCATTATTCTGTTGCAGATCCTAAAACTAGACAAGTAATTCAACGTAAATATAAGTCACAAATGGTAAGTACATTTCTTTCAATTTTCTGTAGAATAATAGTTTTGCACAACTATACTTTCAATTTATGATATAATTTGTTATATTTATTTTTTTATTTATTAATTAAATGTCTACAAAAACCATATATTGTGTAATAGGCTGAAGAAGCGGTTCGCTGTTTACATAGAATATTTTCCGTCGTGTTTACGCTACATAAACTACCGTCGGAAAGTCACCATAAGCGCGGGAATGATTAAAATTTATCCTTGAATTTTTTTCGTTTCTTACATCTCACGTAAGTTTGTTTTTTACTTCTGTTTATTTTTAATAAATTATGGTAAGACAGCGAATATTTCTAAAAATTATTAGTTCTGAGATCTATTTATATACAATATAATTGATACACCAAGACAATGCTTATGTGATAAAACAGGTTTGGTAACAGTAGCGTATAAGTGATTTTCTCGTTGCTCATAGGCGCCTGATATCTGTTACGCTGTTCTCTGCGTATTTTCGTACGTGGCAGCTGGATCGGAGCAACGAAAACAAGGTCAGCAACAGCAGCAACATCAACAGCAACCACAACAGCAGCACCAGCAGCAGCAGCAACAACAGTATCAACAGCATCAGCAACAACAGCATCAGCAACAGCAGCAGCGCTATCAACAACAGCAACATACACTACAATCACGTCAACAACAACAACAACAACAGCAGCAGCAGCAGCAACAACCTCACCAATCCCGGTATCCTTATCAGCAACGCAAGCAGGAACAACCGCAACAATCGAGCAACGCGCCACTGCACAGAAACACACAACTAGATCCGCACTCCCGTCAACACTGACGAACGGAACAGAGACACTCGCTTCCCTTTATCCACAGCGTTCACAACAAAAATAGTTGCGCCCCGTACACCTGTCTACCTTGGGTATAAGTGTGCTATCTTTCCTGAAATTTCGTTGAAACTTTCAATCGAACACATACATATGTAAACACTTAATAGCGACATTTATTAATTCTCAGAGAGAAGTAATGTTATAGTTTTTTCTCAAATGATATCGTGTTTCTTCTTCTCCCTCTAAAAACCAAACTTATTACGAAAAAGATGATCCTAACAACGGGAAATATTTTTAAATTAAATCAGTTTAATTAATATGATATCTCATAGTCGTGAGTCGATATTTGATTCGCTATAGTCTTAATCGTCAATGTGATAGCTGTGCTATTCTCGTACTCGTCCGTATACGTGAACACACACGTGTATGCGTCACACCTAAAGCAATTAAATACAATAACTATTTGTATAATTGTGCGGCAGTAAAAGTTTATGCGCCGCACCAAGAGAGAAATTGCAATTAATTGTGATTGTTCGCGATTGAAGAAGCAGAGATTTTTATTTTAGTTGTTGTACATTATAATATATATGTATAGTCGAAGTAAGTACACTTACTCGATGTCTGATCGGTCAGCGCTAAAAAAAAAAAAATGATCTTCGCTAAAACTTTCCACTTATTGCCGTCGGAGTATTTCGCTCTTCAGTCGTTTTTAGATACTCGAACTTCGCGGCGAACTACAAACGAAACGTAGATATTACGACAGATAGTAGTTTCGTCATTCGCTGTCTCGATTTTCCACAACTGTCGTCGAATTCTAGCTGCGTTATTTCTTATTATTATTTGTTTTTTGTTTGACTTGCGTACACGAAATATAAGTGAAACTGTCGCGTAGGATGTTTAGAAAACTGTAGTATTGTATTCTATGTCCCAAATACAGGGATCGATTATTTTATACACGGTTTCGAACACGGAAGACAAATTTTTCTTTCGGTAGCTCGTAGAGCTCGTTAGAATACACGCATCGATCTCGTTACATATTAGGGAGCATTATGCGTGATATATACCAAACCTGTACAATAATCCGGAAACGACGTCTTCGAAATGCTGTGAAACCACACATCCTGCGTTTTCCTAGGAATGTATAGTTAAGTATATCGGAAGCGCCAAACCAACGAGATTGCACGTTTTATATCGCGATCGCGACAAACGGAATTGGCACTAAGTGCGCGCAGCGACGTTTCTGCACGAATAAAATCGTTACTTTATTCATTTCTTTTTTTTTTTTTTATTGATATTTGTTTTACATAATGTTATGTAGATGAAACGACCAGCCTAGAAAGGGATACAATAGTATCGCGGAAACTCAACTGAAAAAAACCTTAGCATATGTGTCGCACACAGATGCCAGAGGAAATAATATATTTTCTTGCAGTATAAAAAAAATGATGCATATAGATATTTGTAAAAAGGATATAGGAATTTGTAAATAACGGGCGAAGTAGCGAATTGATACAAACAGGCGTGACAACGCTCCTTTTTATTTCCTGTATCTTTTACTACAATTAATATATTTGTAAAGAGCTCATTTTGACAGCTAAGTTATAGAGAAGTACGTTTCTAAAACCAAGACAGAGGATTCTCTTCTATATATAACATAGTAAACATATATACCCGCACACACAATCTTTCTGTATCAAAATTGTCTGCCTAAATCCCGACGTTTAAAAGTTTGTCATCGATGCCGTTCACACAATCAAATATTTCGAGATATGTATCGCGATCACGCAATGAGAAGAAACCCTAAATCTCTAGAAGAGAAAGTAATACCTCGCATTGTATAGTCATACATGTAGACGCCTTATGCCCAAAATATACGAGTAGTCAAACTGATACTAAACAATGATTTTTAAATATTTCCTTACCGTTTTAGAACTCGAACATTTCTGTATTTTTATACTTATATACAATTTATATGAATATTTATTTTCAATTTAATACTATTTATATGAATATTGTTTCTTTACGGTTTAACTTATATTTATTTGACGGCGACTAAAGAAATACGAATCATTAAAACGTTTCGTACAGTATACTTATATTCAGCTTCACAGCTAAGTTTTTTCTGTCGATTCATATTGTTTCGCAAGTAAATTTCTCTCAATAACTTCGTGTGCTTCCTCGACAAATTTCTAGTTCTCACCGGTACATTTAATTTACATAAAAACTGATCGAAAAAGGCTGTAGTTCCTGTGAGTTACACACAAAGAGAAAAATTTGTTGTGGACGAAGTTCTTTGTCTTTCGAAAGATGTTGACTGGAAAAAGACGATTAAAGTTACAAAAGAAATTGATGAAAACATTTTTAAATACTTTACAGCAAAGTAAGTTTAATATAGTACAATTGTGCGCGTGCACACGAAATACACACGTGGTTTCGTGTATGTATTGCCAGTGTTAAAATATGGTCACGTTCTTCAGTGATCTTTGAAAAAACGTACAACTCATAGCGATTACTTAATCTACGTGTTTACAAAAAACTTGGCAGAAGAATTAATAAGCGACTTCTCAAAAGCAATGCCGTGCGTAATCTATACACTGTCTATCGTCGTAATTGCAATCAATGAGTCCGTATCTGGCTGGAATGATATTTTAAATGGTTCAATGGGCGTGTTTGTCGACATGAGAACTGGTGTCTTACGTGTTATGTACATGGATTCTGATGTAATGTCTGATTGTATTCCGGTGGATTTAATTTCTAAAAGACTAATAAGAGGTGGATGCAAACGCAGTATACACAAATACATATGTGATAAAGCCATTCTTTAATAATTAACCTACTTGTCTCGATAAATGTGGAAAAGTAAACTTTATAATATCTTTTACAACTCTGCATTTCTGAGGATAAGAGCTTCTACATTTTACAACTTTTGTACAACCAACACGAAGAGCATAAGTGTAGGAAAGTTACTACGCGTAGCAGCTCGTGTCGTGTATGATATTCTTTTGGAGAATATACTCTGGAAACCGAATATGATTGAAACGGAGAATCATTTGCTGTGTTATATATCTGCCGGCAATATTAATACCCACCATGCTCAAAATAGCCCATTTACGTCCGATGGAAGTTTTATTTAGAAATCTTGATATTTACACATTAGATATTCGAAACTGTGTAATTGCACATTTGTGATTTACGGTATAAGTGAAATGTATCGTATATACTTTGATTTATTGAGATTACTACCTTTGCAAAGAAACTTATATGTGACAATCCATGCTTTGTCATTTGTTCAAACTCACATCTGACATTTTCATAAGTCAAATTTTATAAACTTGTTCAAGAACGTAAACGCTGATGATAAAATTGATTTTGGATATAAAGACTTGATGAATTCCGATACCGATGAGTATATTAGGTGCGTATTAGAGCTCACGCATGCGAGTATTTACGCAATCTTAGTAAAAAAATATTTATCTTGACTGTAAAAGTATATTAGATATTAAAACTAGCTGTGAATCTGAATATAAGTATACTGTAGGAAACGTTTTACTGTTTTTTGTATTTCTTCAGTCGACATTATCAAACAAATATAAATTAAAACAAAATCTTAGTAACAACGTTATGATTAATTGTTAATCAAAAAAACTCTGCTTCATATAAACTCGACGTATACAAAGTGGTAAATTTGTAGCTATAGGTGATAAAAGTGTAGTGATATAAAACTAAAATATACAAGTTTCTAAGACCTGGCGGTACAACTCATGATAATTAGCAAACACCAACAGTGTTTCCACGATATGACCTAAGTTTTACGTACTGACAACGTCACAAACAATCAAATAGCGCACATATCTTCGTGAATTTATGTAAAACGTTCTGTTAGAAAATGCTACATATACAAATTTTGTTATCTAAATGTCTTACAGAATAATATCGTTTCTCAATGAAATACAAACGCAAAGAATGAAAAAAACTTCACTTTAAACCAACAGGTAGCAAGTTTGCGGAATAGAGCTTCTTTCAATAAATTTTACCTTTCATGATAACGTCTAGTTTGTTCCAAGCAACTCATGTTTTCATTGACCAAGTAGAGTTTAGAGTCAATAATTCCATTTCTGAAATAAAAAATAATAATCATTATTATTCAAGTATTCAAAATAACTATTCTATTTCTTAAATAAAGAATACTTTTACAGTCAAGATAAATATTTTTTTGCTTAGATTGCGTAAGTACATACTCGCATGCGTGAGCTCTACTAGGCTCCTAAAATATTCTTCGGTATCGAGATTCAACAAGTTTTTATATCCAAACTCTATTTCATCATCAGCGTTTACGTTCTTGAACAAGTTTATAAAATTTGACTTATGAAAATGTCAGATGTGAGTTTGAACAAATGACAAAGCATGGATTGTCACATATAAGTTTCTTTGCAAAGGTAGTAATCTCAATAAATCAAAGTATATACGATACATTTCACTTATACCGTAAATCACAAATGTGCAATTACACAGTTTTGAATATCTAATGTGTAAATATCAAGATTTCTAAATAACACTTCCATCGGACGTAAATGAGCTATTTTGAGCATGGTGCGTATTAGTATTGCCAGCAGAAATATAATACAGCAAATGATTCTTTGTTTCAATCGTATTTGGTTTCCAGAGTATATTCTCCAAAAGATTATCATACACGACACGAGCTGCTACGCGTAGTAACTTTCCTACACTTATGCTCTTCGTGTTGGTTGTACAACAGTTGTAAATGTAGAAGCTCTTTTTTTTTATTCACAGAAATGCAGAGTTGTAAAAGATATTATAAAATTTCCTTTTTCACATGTATCGAGACAAGTAAGGTAATTATTTAAAAATGGTTTTATCACATATGTACTTGTGTACAATACTGCGTTTGCATCCTCCTCTTATTAGTCTTTTAGAAATTAAATCCGGAATACAATCAGAGATTACATCAGAATCTGTGTACATAACACGTAAGACACCAGTTCCCATGTCGACGAATATGCCCATTGAATCATTTAAAGTATCATTCCAGCCAGGTACGGACTCATTGATTGCAATTACGACGATAGACAGTGTATAGATTACGCACGGCACTGCTTTTGAGAAGTCGCTTATTAATTCTTCTGCCAAGTTTTTTGTAAAAACATAGATTAAGTAATCGCCATGAGTTGTACGTTTTTTCAAAGATCACTAAAGTACGTGACCATATCTTAACACTGGCAATACATACACGATATCAAGTGTGTATATTGTGTGCACGCGCAATTGTAATATATCAAATTTACTTTGCTGTAAAGTACTTTAAAATGTTTTCATCAATTTCTTCTGTAATTTTAATCGTTTTTTTCTAGTCGACATCTTTCGAAAGATAAAGAACTTCGTCCACAACGGGTTTCTCTCTTTGTGTGTAACTCACAGGAACTACAGCCTTTTTCGATCAGTTTTTATGTAAATTAAATGTACCGGTGAGAACTAGAAATTTGTCGAGGAAGCACACGAAGTTATTGAGAGAAATTTACTTGCGAAACAATATGCTTTGAGTGAAAACACTTATCTGTGTAACACTATTCTTTTACTTTTCTGTCCTTCAACAATAATCCTAAGTCTTTAGCACTCACATCTCCGCTTTGGAATTTATTCAATCTGGAAGGCCGCTCGCTCCGCAGTATGTCAAAAATCTTGGTATTCAACAATTTCTTGAGCCTGTCGTTGCTAGTTTCCTTTTTTGGTCGTATCAGCAGAAATCATTTTTTGCTATCCGGACGACATCTCAGTAATGTTTCACATACTGCTTTATCCAAAAAACTTGTGCCACCAGTAATAAAAATATTTCAATGGGAATAAAAGGTGAGTATAGATGTATTAGCGTTTTCACTTATGATAACTAAAATATTTAAAACGTTTCTAAATTAGTATCTGATAGATACTGAGAAGTTTCAAATAGATAGATAGTCAACAACTCACAAATTTTGATGTTACAAAACATCAAAAGCACGTCCTTCTCCATCAAAAGTTTGCACGTAAATGAATCAAACTGAATAGTCGGCTCATTTATAGGAAATGATGACGAACTTTTTTCATGATACGCAATATTCTAAAAGTTCGAAGAGCAGTCTACTTTACATTTACGTGTTGCATTTATTATTGATTTATGTGCATGTCTGTTTGTGATTAAAACTCGTAAGATATTCAATATTCAGAATTGTAATGTAGAATAGCGTGATACCGGTAAACGCTCAGAAACATAGTTTCTTGAAAATCGCGCACGAATGAACGATTACACAAAACGTTTTTCTATAATTGTTTTACTACAATTAAAAAACTTTGAGAGATAAGCAAGTTGCAATCTCGTTTTGCAAGCTACATTATAGAAAATATATGTCCGAAATCACAAAAAAAAGATTCTCTTCTGAGCAACGGAATAACATATACACTCACACACATAGTTTTTTCATATATTTGTCTGCTTACATTTCCACGTTTCGAAGATTGTTATCGATGCCGTTCACACAATCAACCATTCCTAGATTTGTTCGCAATTTGCCGGCAAATTATCAGCAATTTTGAGCAAAAATACTCAGCAAATTGGCATCACCTGTGTCCGCATTAGACTTCGATTTTGTTGCCAAAGCTTGTCGACAAAAAGTAACAGCAAATTGCTAGCAAACCGAGCAAAGCTTGATACATATTGAAACATATTTTGGTCTGAGACCAAATTGACGCCAAATATGAAGCAAAATCTACGCAACACGACACAGCTTTCCTTGGTTTTTCCCAGCAAGTTGCTGTTATGTTTTGTCAACAAGCTTGAATATATTTTTGCTAGCAATTTTGCAACATTGCCAGACAAAACAAACTCTGCATCATATTTGATGTTTTTCTGCTAATAAAATGTGTAACAAGCATTTGGCAAAATCTGTGTCGACAGATTTGGTTATCTGGGTTACTATTGAGAAATAGTATCGCGATTATGCAAAAAAAAGAAATCCTACACATCTAAGAGAGAAATTACCTTATACAGTATGTATTTACGTAAATATCTAATTCAAAATACGTAGATATCTAGTTCAAAATACACTAATTAAAGTGATATTAATCGAAAGTTTTTTTTTTATCCTACCGTGTTAGGACGTTAACACTAGAACTACAGAAGCAGTCAAAATGACTGGTGATAACTTTTCATTTACAAATTGTTCAAATTAATAGTTTCGCACTGTAAAACGTTTTTCTGCCAAATTGATGATATTAATACTTTATGTATTACAAAAACATCATAACAAATTTCTGAAATGCAATATTATAAGTTTGAATACCTTTTAATTAAAAATTCAAAACCAGTCATTTTGACTGGCCATTAATGAATATTCTAATGTTAATAGTGTTTAGAGATGCTTTTATACTAGTAATATAATAATTATGTATAACATTTATATAAAAATAAGTTGTAATACAAATATACAAATATGTTAATTAATATTTGTTTGATGTAGTTGACTGAAGAAATACAAATCAGTGAAACGTTCTGTAAAGTATACACTTATGCTATAACGTGTCAATCTTGTATCATTTTAATCATCAAAACCTATTTCGAAGTTTTATACTCACAAATTTACGTGATTCTTACATTTCGACTAGTGTTAAAAACAAATTTAAA